TGGGGGCGGGAGTTTTCCCGCCGCGGGCTGTGGCAGAGCCACGTCTGCACGCGGACACGCGGGTGGCCGGCGAGCAACCGGCTGCCGCTGCCCCGCCGCCGGCTTGTCCACTCTGGGCCCTTCCCCATCGCGTGACAGATACGCAGGTCAAAAAAACGCGGGGTCAACGCCGACTCCTCCTCACACCCCACAATTAGCTCGTCCCGTTCGCCCTGTTTGCAAATAGACGGAATCCAACCGCTTCTCCTGCTTCTCCCGGCCCGGCCGAGCTCCACCATCACTTCCACCCGGATTATTGAAAGCGTCGGCCGGGTGGTTTCTTGTGCTCGTGCCTCCCCTCGCCGAGACCCAGTTGAACTGTAAACCTTTGGCGCAGAACCTTCCAAAGTCTTCTCATCTGGCTCATAATCCAAGGCCGAAGGCTTTATGCAATGAGCGCCAAGGTTTTACACGGCTGGCCCCTCGCCTCTTGTTTTTCTCCTCCGTACTGCTCTTTTCCTTGGCCCGAGGCTCCCGGGCCTCGGCTCCCCTCACGCTCCCCAGCCCCCGGACCTGCCGCCGCCGCGGGCTTTCCCCCGGCTGCCCCTCTCCTCGGAGCCCCCCGGCGGCCGTGCGCCGTCCCTCGCCCTTCGCTCCCCGGCCTGGCCTGAGCGTCCCAGGCCCGCCCCGCGCGCCGACCGCTGGGGGGCGTCTGTCTGCTCGCTGGACTGCAGACCCGTGAGGGCAGGGAGTTGTGTTCCCGTCGTTTCTGCTTGCATCTCCCGGGCTGATGCGTGGCAGGTCAGTGTTCCTTGAATGAGCGAACCTTCCCCAAGCCCAGTCCTCTTCTCTGCCACAGAACAGGTAAGGAAAGAAAGTCCAGAAAACCGCCTGGCATGGACCTCGTGCTCTCCTGGATTACAAATCGTAATGAACGTGTCTTGACTCCTGATTTCCCACCTATGCTTTTAAACACAACTTGATTTACATGCCATAAAATCCACCCTAAGAGTGCAACTCAAGGATTCTCAGTGAAGTTAAGACCACAGGCACTGAAGGATGGAAGATTCTTGCTAAAGGGAGTTGGCGGGGTTCTTGCGGAGACTGGATTTTATAAGGAGTCTGCCTAAGTTTGTCAAAGAAAGAATCTTTGTTAGTAGTTACCTGGGTGTTTTCTCATAATTATTTTGAAGCTTGCAGACATGTTATATATTTCCGTATATAAAACACAACACAATTTTAAAAACTTCTCACAGACTATTTAACGGTAAGATAGATGGAAGGGAAACTATTAGGTGAAGGAATTTGTAAAACATTATGGTCCAGTGTTAGGATTTCAAGTTCCTTTTTAATTCTCTTAATCACATTTCGAAGTGATTTTCATTAATTCAGTCATCCATTTAATATTTATTGAGCCTTTCTAGTTGAAGGTACATTATTAGATCGAATAGAAGAAGAGCATGATCTCTGTAGTCAAGTTGCTTAAAATCTGGTAAGGGAAAGAGACAACCAGCTAGATCACTACCACATAGCAGGGTAAAGGCAATGATGCAAGTATGCAGATGTGAAGATGCAGAGGGGTGATTCCTGAAATGAGCACTGAAGGCTATCTAAGCCCGAGGAAGAGGAGAGGGTCATGGCATTCCGGACCCAGGGGAAAGCATACACAAGCAAGGTAAGAAGCCACTGAAAACGGCAAGGGATTGATTTTGCTGGACTACAGAGCACACAATTAGGAAGTGGTGAGAGATTTGATTAGAGATGCAGGCAGAGACCAGATTATGAAAGGCCTTCTAAGATATGTTTGTTAGAATTAGGTTTGGCTGTGGGTGATGGAAATCCAAAATAACAGTGTAAACAAGACAGAGGTTTATTGCTTTGTCATGCAAACCATGTTTCTAGGTAGGTGGTAGCAGCTGTGATGTTCCACACTGAGTCCAGGACCCAGACTCCCTTCTCTTTTTATTGCTCCATGATTCAAATACAGTTAATAACTAGCATAACACAGGCCTTTAAAATAAAAGTGGTTTTATTATAAAATTCTAAAAATGTGCTTTAAAAGACAGCACATTTTTTACCGAATAATAAGAAGAAATATATCTTCATAACCCAGATAATCACATAGCAGATTTCATATTGTCCATGGAATTAATATTAAAAAACAACATTCTTCTTTTCAGTTAAGAAGAGTCTTCAGAGCACCATTATTTGAAGGGAAGGTATTTTTCATATCAGAGTTCATCTTTGGTCTGAAATTAAGAAGCAAAATATTTAGAGCCATCAAGAAGTCCTATATGAGTTAGGAAGACTTACATTAGTCTATTAATTGTTTTCCCTTAAAGATAAAAGGAGGGGAAAAAAGCTGAGTTACTGCTATAGACTTGTAGGGTCTAGACCTGTTTTTGGAATCACCCACAGGTAGTTTTACAGGGCTACCATTGTGGAACGCAAACATCTAAGGGTATAATTGTAAAGGGCCTTATGTTACCAATGGTCAGTGACAGGGTAGGGAAGACAACAAAGAAGAAATAAACAAAGCTGTCATTCCAGCACCCCTAACTTCTACAAATCAGTGGAATCATTTGACAGCCCTAAAAACACTTACACAAAGTTAAAAACTAAAAAGAGGAGTGGCCCTAACTGGTTTGGCTCAGTGGTTAGAGCGTCGGCCTTCAGACTGAAGGGTCTCAGGTTTGATCCAGCCAGGGGCACATAGCTCAGTTGCAGGCTAGATTCCCAGCTCAGGTCAGGGAGCATTTGGGAGGCAACCAATCGATGTGTCTCTATCACACTGATGTGTTTTTTTTCTCTCTCTCCCTTCCACTGTCTCTGAAAACCAATGGAAAAAATATCCTCAGGTAAGGATTTAAAAAATAAATAAAGAGAGGAGTGGGGAGAGGAAGCTGCCCAGTTTCATTTGGAATCCATAGAAGTATTCTGATACCAAATCACTAACTTTGTGAAAGGGTACCTTTCAATTCTGGCAATTTGTATGGGCATTGGCTTTAACTGGTTTTATGGTTTTGTAGCATTGACAGGAGTTAACGTTGGTTGATGATGTACCATTTCGAAAGGCTATCTGGTGGCAAATCAGTTCTCAAAACAAAGCAAAACAAAACAAAACAAAAACAATACAACCAAAACTCTGATTATTATGTCGCTTAAAAAATGTCAATATATATATTTTATATATATATGTATGTATAAATCACAATTTTATACAATATACATTCCTTCAAACAAAAAACAACTATAATCAAATCAACCCTCCCCTACTGCACTCTCTTTATACACAACCATGTACACAATTTGAAGATGAGAGAGTAGTTTTTGGTCCTTGCTTTGCTGTAATCCAGCTAGCTGATTCTGAACTAACTTCTTCTTTGGGATCAGTTTTGTTAACCGTAAAATGAAGGCATTTATTGGATGACCTCTAAGGTCCTTTTTAGTTTGACAAGTCCCTATGTGAATCTGCCTTTTATAAACAAAATCAGTATGTAATGGTGTCAGCAGAGATTG